ACTTGGTAGCCCAGGCTGGCCTCAAATTCACAGAGATCCACCTGGCTCTGCCTCCCGAGTGCTGGGATTAAAGGCGTGTGCCACCAACGCCCGGCCCTGGAATTCACTTCTTAAAGCCTCAAGTGGCAAGGTCAGACAATGGACAAGGAGAGAGAGAGCAAGAGCCACAATAGAGCCATGTTGACAAATGAGTGGTTGTTTTAGTCAGAATTTCACTGTTGAGGGAAACAGTTTTCAAGCAGGGAAGAGCTCTTCTTGGCTTGAAGAATCAGAGGTTTCTGTCTGTGGGCACAGGCTCCACTGTTTCAAAGCCTGTGGGGAGGCATATACAACATAATGGCAGAAGGGAGCAGCCAACAGGAGTCACGGGGTCCAGAAAGCGAAGAAAAAATTGCATTCAAAGGCACATCCCCAGTGACCAACTTCCTCTAAGTAAACCCTACCCCTGAAATCTTACACAATCACTCAATAATGTAATCAAATATGAATCCACTTCTGGATGAAGCCGGTGATTGGGGACATATACCTCATGATCCGGTCAGTGGCCTCTCAATGATTGTGATGTAACTCAAAAACTGCTTATTAACACCCAAGTGGTAGATATAACAGAATCAGTTATAATTTCAAGTTGTAGAAAAATTTAAAAATCATAATTATTATTTACGATCATCTCCAAGAGTCCATAAAACTCAATATAGAATGAAAGATGAAAGTATCCATAAAATTGAGTAGGAGACTTAAAGCTATTTCATATGTTTGATGGTATCATTGTGTAGTTTAAATTTTATAGGTCTCTGTACAGAATTAGAACATCTCTAAAATAATGACAATATAATAGGTTAACTAAGTGTTACATGTATAAACAAAACAGTTTTCTTGTGTTTATCAACAGAATTTAAAAAGGAACACAGAAATAACTTATCTGCCATAGTTTCAAAGTGATAAAGCACCTAAGAACTAATTGTATTTAATAATTAGCATTTTTTAAAGCAAAAGTATGGGCCAATCCATAAACTATGAGACTATGGAAATCTTATTAAACAACAAACTCTGAAGCAAAGAAAATCAGAGCACATTGTTGGATAAATGCTTCATCATCAAATTTCCACTCTCCACTAAAAATAGGTATAGCATTATATCTCCCCAAGAAGAGTTTAGAATACAAGCCACCACATAAACAGAGAGCAGGTTACCATTCTGATAAAATGATTTGTCAAAAAGTATTTTATAAGGTGGAAATCATGGTTCATACCTTTAATCCCAGCACTAAATAGGCTGTGTCAAAATGGTTTTAAGTTCATGGCCATCCTCAGCTACAGAGTAAATTCTATGCCAAACTGGGTTCCAGAATGAAAGCCTGTCATAAAATAGAATGAAAACATTCTGTAAACAAATAAATGCCTTTGAAGTATAAAGTTAAGACTAATGGGAACACAGAAAAGTATAAAAATGTAAAAGACATGTGCTTTGCAAAGTACAAATGATCTCTTCCATAAGAATGGGTTCTAAGCCGGGCGTTGGTGGCACACGCCTTTAATCCCAGCACTTGGAGGCAGAGCCAGGTGGATCTCTGTGAGTTCGAGGCCAGCCTGGGCTAACAAGTTAGTTTCAGGAAAGGCACAAAACTGCACAGAGAAACCCTGTCTCGAAAAAACAAAACAAAACAAAAAGAATGGGTTCTAATCACTGAGACTTGTATAAACATAATAGTCTGGGGGACTTAGGTGAGGCCTGGTCCTACAGATAGCAAAGATCACCAGGTAATAAACTACATCCATTCCCAGCTTTCTGGGTGGAAACAGGTATAAATCCTCCCATTGAAGAGAAAAGCGTATGTGTTGAACATTTCTGGTTTCTGTAGTGATATCTGTGAGCTTGGGGACCTCATGCCCTTGAGAAGCATGATGAGTAACTACCTTACTAAGTAAGAAAGACATTAAACAGACACTAAATAAGAATATATTGGAGTTGGATAACAGATTAACAATCTTAATCTAACCAGGTTCTGTAAAAGATTTTGACTGTGATTAGAGGACACTCATTTCTTCTAAGTAAAAAAATAATCATACATTCATAAATATTGACCATAAAAAATGCTTACATCAATAAAATACAAGTTACCAGGGTCAAATACACATAAAATAAAACCACAACAAAAATACTTCAATAAAATTTAAATTATTTAAATATATTTTGTTTTAAAAAAATCACAATTATAACAAGACATGGTAACTCCTGAAAAAAAAAAACTATAGGAAGACTCAGTGTGTGTTCAAATATTAACAAAATTCCCCAGAAAGCTTAGAAAAAAAGAAAATGTATTAACCAGAACACCAGCGAAGACTTTATTATATATAAAGAATTAGAAATATTTGCACTTCAATCAGGAAAGATAAGAATTCTCACATCCATCACTACCTCACCTCAGTTCACTAACATTTAATATACTGAGAAAAAAACATTATTTTCAAAGATAACATGATTATAACTTTTTTAAAGTAGTAAAATACGGGTTCAATAATGTAGACAGATCAATTATAAAAATTAATAGTTTTCTTATATACTAGCAATAGCTTCTTTGAACTATAACCTCAATTATCCTAGTTACAATCGCAATTGTAAATAATCCAGGAAAAGCTTAACTCTAAAACTACAAGAGCTAAGTGAAGAAATATTGAAACACAGATGAAAAACCAACTAAATGGAGAGATGATTGAGAAATTCTGTTCTAATGATGACTTGCATGTTTTCCTGGTGCTCTGGTTAAATGTGCTCCCCAAAGAGCATGTGTACCCATCAGCAGATGAATATTGGGCTGGAGAGATGAATAGTGGGCTAGAGAGATGAATAGTGGGCTAGAGAGAGGAACAGTGGACTACAGAGATGAATAGTGGGTGGACTACAGAGATGAATAGTGGGTGGACTACAGAGATAAATAGTGGACTATAGAGATGAATAGTGGGATGGAGAAATGAATAGTGGGCTGGAGAGATGGCTCAGGGGTTAAGAGTATGTAATATGTAAGAGTATGTAATATGTAAGAGTATGTAATAATAGAGGGGACCCAAACTCAGAAAGACAACTACATGTTTTCTCTCATATGCAGAATCTAGTTTGTAACATGTGTATGCATGTATGTAGGTGGGTCTAAACACAGGTAAACATCTGGATAGAGACTGAGAAGTAACAAGAGAAGCAGGGACAGTGAGAATGAAGGGACACTGTAAGTGAAAGTAAAAGTGGAACTGGCAAGGATATAAGAGGGTGGTACAGGAGAGGACAAGGGGGAGATGTGTGAGGAGCGTCAATCAAAATACTTTGCACAAAAATATCAATATGATACTGTCTTAGTCAATATTCTATTCCTGTGAAGAGACACCACGACCATGGCCACTCTTACAGAGGAAAGGATTTAATTGGGGCTGGCTTACAGTTCAGAGGTTTAGTCCATTGCCATCATAGCATGAAGCGTGGCAGCCTGCTGGAAGACATGGTGCTGGAAAGGGAGCTGAGGGTTTTACATCTGGATGGCCAGACTAGAGAGAGAGAGAAGAGAGGGAAGAGAGAGAGAAGAGAGAAGAGAGAAGAGAGACGAGAGACGAGAGACGAGAGAGAAGAGACGAGAGAGAAGAGACAAGAGAGAAGAGACGAGAGAGAAGAGACAAGAGAGAAGAGACTGGGCCTGGCTTGAGCTTTTGAAACCTCAAAACCCACCTCTCCTGACACTTTCTCCGAGAAGTCCACACCTACTCCAACAGGGCCATACCTCCTAATAGTGCTACTCCCTGATAACCAAACATTCAAATCTATTAGTCTATGGGGTCCATTCTTATTCAAACGCCCACATTCCACTCCCTGGCCCACATAGGCTTGTATGGTATGTAGCCATACCATAATGCAAAATGTTCATCCAGTCCAACTTCAAAAGTCCCCATGGTCACTAACAGTCTCAACACTGTTTAAAAGTTCAGAGTGTCTTCTGAGACTCATTAGCAATCTCTTAACTATAACCCTTGTAAAATCAAAATTGAAAAGCAGATCACCTTCTTCCAACATTCAATGACACAGAATATACATTGCATTCCAAAAAGGAGGAAAGGGGGAATAAGGGGGACATACAGGACCAAAGCAAGACTGGAAACTAGATGGACAAACTCCAAACTCTGCCAAATTCTTCTGCTTCTTTCTCTCTCCTGGTCTCTTTCCCAGTTACTAAGACCATGGGCCAAGAGGTTCCAAATAAATTCATAAATTTTAACTCTTGTCTCTAGTCTGTATCTGTTTCAGTGGGCTTCCATCTGGCCAACTAACACATACAGGCATTGGCTACTCACTTCAACCTATGAGACATGGACCTGCTGAAGGGTGATGGTGGACCAATCCAGACAAAACAATTTCCTGTCTCTACAGCTAGGTCAGATTACCACATACTTCTAGTAAATACCCCATTGCTTGGGTTCCCTCCTTACCTTTGACTAGCCAGAATCCTGAACACCTGCGCCCCATTTCAGCTTGAAGTAACTGTGGAGAAGAATGCATTGTCCTATGTTTCCTGTTCTCAGGACAGGCTACAGGCCAAGTTAAAGGTGGAACCCCTGGTACCGGGGACCAAATGGCTACCAAATGCCCATTGATATACCAGGAAACTGGACCAAATATTGCAATAAGATACTTGACCTTCTTTATGCAGAACAAAAGAGGTATTATATAACCTTGAGAGATTATTTCTACATAAATCATTCAGGATTATAATCTGGCTGTACTCAAAGATCAAAACTACAGCTACAGAGCCTTAAAAATGGTAATAGATTCAGGTATCACTGCCAATGGCTTAAAAATGTCTCTCCTTACTCAAGGTCTGTTCAGGCCTAAGAATGTGAACCTCCCTGTCCTTGCTAACTTCGTTAAGCTGTAACTACCTGGGAAACCTGATATCCACATCAGCAGATTTTGCTCCTCTAGTCCTCAAACACTTTTAGAGATCTGAGAATATGGCATTTAATATAAAAGCTTTTATGATAGAGAGACATGTCGGCTCCTGGCAGCATCCTGTATCTTCTCCAAGAAGATAGATGGCCACAGAAGAACTTCTACGTGGAAGCTGATGGCAAGGCCAGGCACGCAGCAAAAAGTTGAGATCCTGTCCAGACTGTGAATAAGTGGAACAGCAGAGTACCGATTGCCCATACTGCAAAGTCAAGGTGGGTCAGTCTCCCCAAATTTCTACTCCACAGAAAAAAATCTGTCAGATCTTCTGGGCCTATCAGCTGAACCACAACTGCCTTTGGGGCTTCTGTCCCCCAACGACCATGGAGAGACTTGGGATTGCTGCCTAGGTGGCTGGAAAGCTGTCTCACTTCTTAAATTTATCCTTCTCAGATCTGATGTTTGATGACTAGGGTATCAGTTTAACAACCCCAATTCCAAGACTACATCCACCTTAATAGCTCATTAATAAATTTCCTGTTGAAATTACGGACAGATGTGCCTCACTCATAGCCTTCATGGTACAGGTTTCAAAGTTTTAACATTGATAAATGAAGTTGTGATAACCTAATACTTTTAACCTTTTTGCTATGATGTAAATCCATTCCAGCTGTTTTACAGATATCTCCAGGTTCCTGGGGAAAGTTCTGCTAAATCTGTTCCAGCTGTCTTACAGATATCTGCAGGCTCCTTGGAAACACTGCATCAAGAAATCTGGTCTGATGAAAACTAACAATCTCCACAGCCCATTGTTGACCCCACCTATTTTTCCAGCACATTCTGCAGATTCTCTCTTCCCCCTGACCTCCAGAGAAACAACAGACGCCATGGCTTCTGTACTCCTGATTTGGTGTACCATTCCCCACAAGCTCCTGGATCATCACTGCTGCAACCGGCTTTCTCAGGTCTCTCAAGGAACAGACGCCTGAGATCCTCTGCTGTGTGTAACTCCTGGCTTCCTCCTTCCCCACTTCGCCCCTTGCCGGCTTGAAGCAGTCTCAAGAATTCAATGCCCTTGTTCCCCCACTTGCTATCGTAACTCACCCTTTTATAATAATCAAAACGAAGGAATATTAATATTCTGCCCGCCCCTTGGAGCTGCCCTGCATCTTGACGTAGAAGCCTGACTTAAGGAAAAACCCCTCCCTTTTTCTCTCTCTTCTTTCTCTCCATTCCCATGAGGTGTGCACCCTCGACCCCCCCCACACACACACACCTCTCTCTGTCTTTCCCTCTTTCCCTATCTTTCTCTTTTTCTCTCTATTATAATAAACTCATTTCTGTGTGGATGCAGCGCCTGGGTTGCAAATGACGCGCCACCGCCCACCCCCTGCCAGTCCATCTGCCCAGCGTGTTTTCTGTCTTGTGCGATATCATAACAATGGCCACCATTCTGTGAACCTAAAGAGCGAGCCATGGCTTGTTCCTGCATTTTCGAAAGAGTACACACGGTCACTACAAGGACGGACAGAAAAGAGACAAAAAAAAAAAAAAGCAAATTAGGTGATTCTAGGTAATTTTCAGCTCTAAAATTCTGTCTCAATATTTATATTTTTTTGGACTGGACCTTCATATCGACACATTCCCTCTAGGAGGTAAAAGATAAACTACTAAAACTCACAAGTTACTTCTTTCTCTGACCAAGGGAAAAATGTCCTTCATCCTTTCTATCACACATCATGGAAGCTGTAAGGAAAAAGAAAGAAAGGAAGTATAAAGTTTGGGGATTGCTGAGAGAAATAGATCCCAGGTGGTTTACCAAACAGAAGTACTTTGTTCCAAGGCAACTTTCCCAGAGAAGCACTGGGTTACTCTTTCTCCTGGCAGGTCAGCAGAGCTGAGTGCCTGGGAAATGAAACATCTCTGCACCCTGGAGAGCAGGGGAGGTGTCCCCACATCGTGGACCAGTGGCAGGTGACACCACTGTTGTCCTTTTTTAAACTGTTGCTGCCTTTGAAGCCACAGCTGTCCTAATCAGCACCTCTGCAGCTCCTGGAAACAGTTCCGCTGCAAGGCCCACAGCCGGAGGGGATTCTGCTCCCTCAGGCACCAACTCTTTCAAAGCTACCAGGGAACTTATCTAAATCTCTGTCCCGCTAACGAGTTCAAGCTTCAGAGGCTGAGGTAAAAGTCTGCTCCTCAGAGAGGCTGAATAGCAAATAGCTCACCTCCTCTCCTTGCTCAGGTCTCCCAAAGAGCCCTTGTCCTTCTCCCCGCCCCCACTTAAAAGTCCTTCTCCACTTGGCTCCTCCCTACCACTTCCTGTCAGCTAGTTGCTGACTCAGCCTCTTGACCGCAGGTGAATTTTATTTAATCAAACAAATATAACACATCTTTGCATCATTAAACAAATGTTACAGAGCATAAACAAAGAAACACACCTTAAAATAATATTCCACAACACCCCACTGATGCAAAAGTTTCCTTTTTCTGGGGTTTTCCTCTTTCCTTCCACGTCAAATTAAAATATATCCTCCCTTGTTTTTAAGTTCCTCTCTGGCACACCCATGGCTTTTCTACAGAACATATGCCATTGTTAACTGTTGGAAATTGGGGATATCATTCTGGCTGGGTCCCTCTATTTCTATTTCATCAAGGATATTCAAAGATCTGTTCCTTCGATATGTTTTTTAAAGGATTTTTGTACAGCAAACCATCTGTAGTAGGTATTTTTCTGACTGGGAGGAGGGGAAATGGTTCCCTAATTCATTTGGGCAATAATGATAATTTGACCTATCCTGTTCTTGATAGTAGAGTGAGAACTCATACACTTTATCTGCTTATTTTCTTCTGATTTTTAATTCCAGAAGGGATAAACACCAATTCATTTTGTTTATAAGCCTTCCAGGTTATTATATTTTACTACAGTAACTTGAACTGATTGAGAAAGCATGTAGAGAACAAAACCATCATAAATGATAAAAATCAGTAGCCCATGTAGTTGGGTATGACCTGAAGAAGGAACACTGTCCTCCTCACTAAGAGGAAGCCAAGTCACTGGATGGGGAGGCCAAAGAAGGAGGCAGTTCAGTGAGGGGATATGCAGGGAAGGCAGAAAGCCCAGGAGGAAGAACATTGGATACAATCTTATTTCTGGGAATCTCCTAGAGCCCTGATGTTGTTCCCAGCAATGGAAGAGAGGGATTCAAAAAAAAAAAAAAAAAAAAAAAAAAGCAGGGTCTCCTAATGAGGGTACACCTGACAGATAAAACCACTGGGTTTGAGTTGTTCACATAACTGACTCGTGGTTAGGGGTCAGCATTCCCAGAGGGTCCTGGGAAAATCTGGGAAGGGAAACTTGCTGGAAGGCTGGATGAGGTTTTAAAGCCATTGAGATATGATCATAAATATAAAGGCAATTCCATTTTATCTGCAAGCTTGTGAAGCTCAGGGTACATTTCGTAACAAAAATATCAAAGTACAAAAGATAAATTTCAAAGGCAAAGTTTACAGCTTGTCCTCTGCAGGACAGACTATCCAGGATGCTCTTTCATCACAGTTAGTTAAATGAGGGTTCTGGCAGTGCAATGACTCAGAGATAAGAAAATAAAGTCGTAACATCAATATCCTCAAATGTTTGGGGATATATGAGGGAACATAAATATTAAATGTTGAAAAAGGGATTCAACCTGCCCTTCAAGTCCAGCCAGCTGGCTCCCCTCCACCACACAGTGCCCTCTAAGACAAACAGGATGAAAAAACAGAGCTCCCAAGGAACAGTGGTTTGCAGGACTTCACAAAGAGTGGAAAAAGTGGAGGGGTTTTTTGGTTTGGTTTGGTTTGGTTTGGTTTTTATTGTATTTTTATTTCTTCATTTTGTGTCTGAACGTTCGCGTGCAGCACAGGTGTGAAGGTCAGAGTAAACTTTGCAGGAGTTGGTTCTTCTCTTCCTTCCTGTGGGTCCTGAAGACTGAACCCAGGTCAGCCAGGCTTGGCAGCAAGCTACCTCCCCCACCTAGCCATTTTGTCAGCCCTGCTTTTACTTTATTTCACTCTATAAAGAAAAAAATGACTATTCTTACCCTGTGACAGTAGATACTCTACTGGAAGGCTAATAGTATTCTCTAAGGAGCTCTGAGAAATTCTATCAAGTGAAGCCTCTAGAAGCTATCCAGTGTTGCCATTGCTAAATAAACTCAAGGGGGATGTTTACTTGAAGGATGGCCTGAATTTATAAAGACATTAACATTCAAGGTCTGTTGGTTAATAATGCACCAAGGTAACTTCATGTTTCATTTTTTCCAATATGGCAGCTATGATGATTAATTTCATCTTGATTGTCAACTTGATTGAGTAGGGGATCAACTAAGAGACAAATGTTTCAGGGAAGGACTATGAGGGCATTTGCAGGAAGGATTCACTGACTGGAGAAGAACTTCTCCCAGAATGGGCAACACCTTCCTGCAGAGGTGTAAGGAAAAGAGAGTGCACATGTACGCCTGTCTATGATTCTTGCTGGAATCATCTATCTATCTATATCCCATAGCGGTTGTCGCTGCTGCCATGCTTCTGGGCCATCAAACCCAGCTTCTTCAGCCTTTCAGCATGGGCTGAAGATGAGCAGCCCTCCAGTAATCCTCCAGTCCCTTAGCTGAGGCATTCATCCTGTGAACTGAGCACCTACAGGATTCTGAGCTCCTCCAATATACAGACAGCCATGATGGAATTGCCTAGCTCCTAACCTTTAAGCCAGTCGCATAAATCCCCAGTTTAAAGTATCTATTCATTCTGTTGGGCTTGTCCTTCTAAAGAACCTTGACCTAGACTGCAGGTGTTTGGAATAATAAAACAAAATAAAGTACGTCTGCACTTATTGTTGCCAATTTCTTTTTTATTAAGTTGAAGCAAGGAGACAACACAGTAAAGGAGATGAGGCAGGCCCAATGGGGAACTTCACAGATTTGACCTGTGACCTGACCATGAGATCCAGAATAAAGACCTAAATTACTTTCTAAAACATAAAACGTGCTGCCTTTCTTTATATCTGCACCTCTCACAATTATGCTAGATGACAGCCACTCAGAGGGCTCTCTGAATCCTGCTTAGCTATAACCTATTAGACAGAAATACAATATCATTTTAGCACACCAAAATGAAAATCCCACCGAGAAGAAAAGCTTGATGGAGTAAATATTCCCCTTGCGTTTCTGATTAACACCTCTGACTATTTTTTCTTAAGTTCAAAGAGCTATTATTAGAAAATGGTAGCACCGTGCAGTTAAGTGTGGCAGATGGCATATAGGAATGAGTGGTGTGCAATTTACAGTAAACAAATTCTTTATCTTTGACGGGTCATGGGGAGAAGTAAAACGGTCTCCAACTCAATCAGGGAATATGCAAGAAAACACTGACATGCAGATTCACTAATTACAGTGAAATGTGTTAAAAAGCTACAATTATCCCAATGGATGGAACCTTTTCCCATGAAGATTAGAAAAAACAACCAGGCGTCATGGGCTGACAGCAGGATACCATTTGTAAATGTGCTCCCAGATTGGTTGACACCTGTTCAGAGAAGAGATTTGAGTCTTCAGAGCCCTCAACTTGGTTGCCTCTCGAGGCTGGTACACTTCTTGATGGTATGTGTGAGTGGGAGGCCATCAGCTGTTACTAACCCAATACATGAGGGAAAATGTAGCAAACATCACCTCCTTCCTGCAAAAAGAGAGGATGATAAATCAGCAGGAACTGACTCCTTCAATCCTCATTAGGTTCGCTATCATCAGCTTAGTGTTGCAAATATTGCAGAGTTAGAATTTTGCCACTATGAAAATGGAAAAAGGAACATAAAACAAGTAATATAAAGTGTTTTTCAACAATAGCTATTTGACTATCTATTGAAGTGGCACTATGAATATTTATAATAAAGTACAAAACCATGTAACTCCATAGCATACAGGTGCTACCACTATGTGAATATATACAGAACATCAATAGAGAATACCTAATGGGATTTGGTCCAAAAGGCCAAGATCATTGTGTTGAGAAATACTGATTTGTGTTCAAAATTAAAATATAGAGATTATATATCTGCTCATTTTCAGCCCATATTGAAAGGCTGAAGAAGCTGGATGCTGATGACCGGAAGCATAGCACAGCAACAACCACTATGGGACAGATGCGCTCACCAGCAAGAATTATAGACACGCATGCACGTGCACTGTCTTCTCCTCAGACCTCTGCAGGAAGGTGTTCCCATTCTGGAAGAAGTTCTTCTCTTGTCAGTGAATCCTTCCCATATAGACCTTCCCTGAAACATTTGTCTCTTAGTTGATTCCCTACTCAATCAAGTGGAGAACTATAATTAATTAAACAAATTAAAATTATGGAAATGACAGAATATAAAATACTTCCCATAATTTCAGCAGTTCACTGTGGTATTTTATCTGTGTCCCCCAATAAAGTTTATCTGAGTATCAGAGGAAAAAGCCAGTCACTATATTAGACATAGAAGTCAGGCAATGGTAGCACATGCCTTTAATCCTATCACTCGGGAGGCAGGGATCTGTCTGTATCTCTGTGAGTTCAAGGCCACACTGGGAACAGAGCCAGGTGTGGTGGCACACACCTTAAATTCCAACACTAGTTAACCATAAAGGTCTGGAGGTCTGTACAGACAGACAGGAAGTGACAGAGCTGGGCTGGAAGAGGAAGTGATTAAGATGGGCGAAGAGAGGAAATGAGTTGACA